TATACACTGTAATATATTGTTATGATATATGTAGTTGATATATACATACATCAAATGTATTTATTTATATATATATATATATATATATATATTTATTGTATATATATATTATATTATATTATATATATGTATATTATATATGATATATGAATATATATATTTACATATATATTGATATACCTATATATGATATATTGTATATATCATTGTTTTGAGATACTTATATACCTAGATGCAGAGTTGTTGCATTTATGGAATAAATGATTCAACGGTTCTTTTTACCAAAAAGATTTTTCTATTCTGCAATTATTATAGCATACTAATCTAATATTCTAATATATATATGGTGGGACGTTGGGACAGCGCACTGTCCAACAAGTGGCCCCATTGAAGTGAAGGATTAGTCGAAGTAGACCACGAAACGACTTGGGTCCTTTTTCGTCCTTCGATTCTTGGATGTTGTTATTGAGTTAAAGCTGGAGTGGCTTCCGTTCGCATAACTACATCTTTTGTTAATGCAAGCATCTCATTTAGCTTGAGGTTTCCTGCCAAAGTCGTCACTCCAACCAATGGTGTCCCAAGACAGTCTTCCTCCTACTTGCCAGTGCTGGACATTGGCACAATATATGCACCGCTGTCTCCTTTTCTTCTAGACATAGTCTGCAAGTGTCTTCCTCAGCAAGAGTTATCTTTTTGAGGTGATACTTGAAGTGAGGTCAGCCAGCTTAGAGTGCTCCGCGAATAGCTAAGCACTTTTATCGCTTCTCTGGCCCACGGTTTAGGTAACATGAGTTTGGTGTGTCTACAAGTGCTCAACTCTCTCTATCTATTAAGATGAAGTGAGATTATCCACTTATTGACATAGGCTGCCGTCATGCTGTACCCCAATGTTATTCTGGGCTCCGGGCCACAGAAATTATGGCTTGATCCTTGCTTTGCAAGTTCATCTGCCTTCTCGTTTTGCTCAATACCGATGTGTCCTTCAACCCACATGATCGTCATCTCATTTCCATGAGCACATTCCATGAGCTTCGTTACACATTCTTGTACTAAGCTGTTAGTTATGTATGTATGTCTTTTGCATGCTTTTGATAACTGCTTGGTTGTCCAGCGCTATCAGAATCTTTTTCTGATATACCTGACAATCCAATAGGTGATCCAGAGCATGTGAGACCGCCATAAGTTCCGCTTGATAGACGGAAACATATATTCCTAGATGTAGAGTGCACGTTTGATTTAGCTCTTTCGAGTAAACTCCAGCACCAGCTCTGCCATCCATTAAGGAGCCATTGGTAAATATGTAAATGTCATTCCTTCCACATTCATTATGTAGAAGGCCGTCTACTATCAGTGTTCTGTAGGACACTTCTGTCCCATAAACCCTCCTCATAGTCTCCAATGGCATCAGCGTTTCCTTGACCGAGGCCTGGACGAGATCAAGAATCTTACGATGACCCACTAATTTTCCGAAGTTGTTCCACGTGGAGCTCCGGTTCATGCGAATTGCTGCCAGTGCCGCCGTTTTCTTTATATGTAAATCCAACGGAAGCAAGCCTAGCATCGCCTCTAATGCCGGTGTTGGTGTAGTTCGCATAGCGCCTGTTATTCCAACACAGGCTAGTCGCTGGACTCTATCTAACTTCGTCTTTATTGTCTTTTGGGTGACTTTACACCACCAGACAACTGACGCATATGTTATATGTTATATGCATATGTTAGTATTCTAATATAGTATTTTTCTCATATGAAAGAGTCCCATTTCATTCTGCTTAGAATAGTTTTTCGCTTAATAAAAAGATATATAGAATGATTTTAATTGATTAAGAATTCAAAATCAATGATAAAAATTATGCAAATTTTTTATTGATCAATTTTTATCTTATAACTTAACTTGACCTAATTTTAATGCTTTGCTTATTTATGTGAATAATTTACTTTATTTTCAAAGAATTATTAAGTTTAGCACGATTGCGTAAAGTTAATCATTTACATATGTTTGTATACAAAAAAGAGAAAAAAAGTTAATGGTTAACTGTCGAGATAATAAATGAGTTTTTTATGCAAATCACATTTTTTTGTTTACTATAATTTAGTAAAATTTATTTGATATATTTATACATTTGCGCAGATTATAAATGCCCAAAACAGTTTAACTAGAAGATTAACTCAGAAGTAAGCTTATCTGATTTAATAGTTTTTGTTTTCAAATAATCATTCATTGTTTAATGCAATTTCGCTTTTCACGTTGTGTGCCAATTCACTTACAACAGTTTCTCCCCTACACACGTCAATTGTTTACTAACTCAATTAACTTTTTTCAAAAAATATTGTTAATCAAGTGAAACTATTTGAGATGTTACGCCGCTTAACTTCAAAGATAAAATACATTTAAACTATTTAGCAATTTTTGGCAAACAATTAAAACCGTGTTAAAATAATAGAAAAAATATTAGCGCCTTTTATGTTGCGCCCTTTATTTGTCAAAATCGCAGTAGCCCAAGGGTCTTCACATATTGAGCAGATCGACCCATATTTTAATTAAAGTTGGTGTTGAAGAGCCTCTTGAAGTTTTTTTAAACTTTCTTAATTTATTTCATTTTTATTTTTAATGTTTTATTAATTATTGATTCTGTTTTTGCTTCCTGATTTGACTTTCCTATTATTATTGATTTTTTTTGTCATATTAAAAATTGTGGTTACTTGCTTCGTACAAAATATATTAAAAATTTTGTAATTTTCACTTCAATCTGTCAATATGTCAAATTTGCCATTAACGAATGTTGAAGTGGTTTTCAATAAAAATGTTTTAATATAACTTCAAACAAAAAAAAAGGAATATACATAAACACATAGATTCCAACACACTGCAAAAATTTTTTCAATAACTTATAACATAACATACATTATATCCAAGACCACTGATGATGGGTATTTGGCAATACTCGAAACAGCTGTATGGTCAGCTAAAAATTTAATTAATTAAAATAATATAATAAATAAAATTTTTGTTGTTGTATTTCACTACTATTCGAAAAAACCTCTTTATAACATACATATTAAAAACTTAGGTTTTAAATACTTACGAATAGGTATTTTGGAAAAAGAGAGAAAATAATGGATTAATGATTTCATTTATTGATCAGAAATAAATTGTTCTAAAATCAGTTTCCTAAACTTTAATTGAAATATATTTATTACCTAACACTCCCATTTAACTAAATCATTTTAAGAGTTATTAAAAGTTGTCAAAAAAAAGATGGATGACATAAATTTATTGGAGTCTAATTGGCTATCTACCTCGTGAAACAATGTTACTTAAGGAACACAACTTATTCAGAAATAAATATTTGTTGTATGTTTGTTTATTATGTAGCTTTTTGGAAACGAGGTTCTAATATGTATAAGATGTTTCCTACCATTATAAATTTTAGCCGAACTTATAGCTTTTTTGTTAAAATTTATCAGTTCTTGAGTAAATTATCAAGAAAAAAGTAAATTGCAACATTCATACTAAACTTAAATCATTTAAAATATTGTTTGAAACCTTCGTAGTTCTAAGCGAAGATAACTAAATAGCAAAGTTTGCAATCATAGGAATCCACATTTGCATTATAAGAATGTCTCATAGTTTAAAATAGCATTGGTTTTTATTGTCTTTAACGAAGGCATCGTCGTTAAGGAAAACTAAATTTGCCACAGTGAAATTGATAAGACATACATTAAATCAATCTATCACGATGTGATAGATCATGCTTAATTGATATGTAAACCCCAGGCAGTGTTGTCAACTTTAACACAAAATTAATTAATTCATACCTTAAGCGTGTTTAGTTTTAGTTCAAATTTGCTAGATATATATATATATATATATATATATATATATATATACGAGTATATATATGAATATATTTTGTTTATAAATATATTTCTATATAAATATATACAGTTGATATGAATTAGTAATTAAATTAAAATCTTGTACTTTACAATAGTTAATGTACAAAAACGTTTTTCATACATTTCTTTCCAGTGTATTTTTCGTTTCAGTATTTCTTTTAAATAAGAAATTCTGTCAAGACGATAATTGTGTCAAAATACTTTTGAATATATTATCTTCTTCCTATATTTTTCCTTCTCAGTAGTAACATCAATTTTGGCGGAAACATGAATTACTCGAAAAACCTATTTAAGCTCGGCTGCCAACAGCTTAAACCATAAGTTGCAATTATTAGTTTTTTTTCTATTTATTATTTTCTTCTGATACTTTCTGTTTGTTGTGATTTGATTTTGATTTTTATTCGTTTGATACAAAGAAGCTGCGTACCGCATCGAATTCTATTGATTGATGGATAAGCTTTCAAGTTGTTGTTTATATTGTTTTTGTATGAAGTTTTTTTTTCTCAATTTTGAGTCGTTTTGGCGAAAATTGCTTTGCAGGGCATTATTGGCATTTATTTTTTTATTGTATTGAGTTGTCTATCTTTTAAGCATCGCGTTTTCAAGCTTGTTCCATTCATGTTTTTTATCTATAACATTTGAAATTATCAATGAAGGCCAGAATACAAAGATCAATTTTCACCTTTTTTGCAATTTCATAATTTTTTAATGTTTTTTGATGGCAAAGACAAAAATTTGATGAATGAATTGCAAACAAAAATAATTTGTGGGTGAGAAAATGCTTAAATATAAAATAGAAAACTAATATGAATGCATTGAATGATTTGAATAAAGTAAATTTGATAAGATTTTATTTTATGTACCATAACAGCTCTGAATAATAATTTAGGTCAGTAGTTTGGAGATTACGATTATGGAAGAAATTAATGAAGCGTTTAATTCTATAAGAGATTTGTGCTAATTTATACTACTGAAAGTACTATATTTTTAAATCAAAGAGTTA